GCAGACGCCGGTGTAGGCGATGCGGACTATTACGTCTGTTGGGGAGGTGATGGTGGGGATGGGTCGGTCTTCGTAGCGGGCGTCGTGGGCGCCGTAGAGGAGGCACGAAGGGTTGGACATATCGGTGAGGGATATGGAGCCCATTTTTGTATTTGCTTGGTGATGAGCTGTTTGGTGAGTGAGTGAGTGAGTGAGTGTAATCACAGAATAATAGTGGGAAAGAAGGATTAATCACGTTAGCTAATGAAGATATCGTTTAGCCCGCGAACAGTCTAATTTAAGATGCGGGGTTTCGCCGAGAGAGTCGCCGATGGGAATAGGTTGGGATCGTCGTGAAGATGGGACCATGTGGAGGTCTCGGTTAGCCCTACAGTCACTCTAGTACTGGCGAAATATGTTTAAGATTGTATAAATAGGCTAAATATTGTCTAACTTAAAAATTATGTATGAAGTTCTAACACGAAAACCACATTAGCTGGCATGCACCTTGTCCGGAGTATCAGACACCGATGCCATCGCACATTCCAGAGCACTCTTCAAGTCAATATGGAACAATGGCAAGTTCACCCCAGTCACCACCGCCGGCTTGCCACCTCCGCGTCGTTGTACAGCTGTCCTCTCCGAGCCCTTGGCTGCCTCGTCCATTTCCCGTATACTCAGGACCCCGGCTTTCTTGTCATCCCTACTCTTGCTCTGTTTCAATTGATCGCTGGCTTGCGACTCGATATCACTGGCGCGCTGGTCCGAACTATCTCCAGAGTATACTGCCTCCGTGATGTTGAAGATTGGCTTGAGTTCGGGCACATCCAAAGGCCGACCGAATCCCGCGGCAGCGAGAGCCCGCTTGGTCCATCGGTTGTTGATATGAGCGAAGTGCCACTGGACTCGGTCCGGGGCTGCATACCGGTCCAGCTGGTTCCGGACATCGATTAAGTTCTGGACCGAAGTCACGTCAACATTGTTGACGGCGGAGAAATCAAGGATGACTGCCCGTAGCAAAGGTTTCTCTGTGGAGTTGGCGATTTGTTCGGCCTTGCTTTTGCGAGGGGCGGGGTCATTCCATGGTCGGTCGCCGGGGGTTGCGTATAAGGAAGGATTAGTGCGTCGGGTAGATTCGAAGATGTGTTCGACCAGATTGTCGGTATAGTGGTTGGCGTTGGGGTAGTTGAAGCCTTCGGAGACGCGGTAGATGAAGATGCCTGGTGCGGGCTGGGTGATGGGGATGGTCGGGTTGGAACCGTCGGTGTGCTTTAGGGGAAGGAAAACAGTTCGACTAGAGGTATGCTTGTAGTCGGAGCTGGAAAGCTGAGCGCCGGAAATGAATTCCTTGGCTGATCCGGTTTCTTCTACAAGGTGGTCGCCGATAACGGAGTGGATCTGGACCTGGCCGAGGAACTGACCACGGGCTTTGGCGATGCGGAATAGCAAGACTGCGACCGAGATGCAGATTGTGCAGTAGATGCCGTCTTCAATGCTGGAGAAGATAATGACGATGATTCCGATTAAAGCAATGACAGCATCAAGAGGTGAGACGAGCCAAAATTGGTAGATGACTTTAGGTGGTGTGATCAAGTCGCCGACGGCGTGAATAATAACAGCAGAAAGTGATGAGCTGGGAATAAAGAAGAACAGAGCTGGAAGGGCGTAAATGGCAAGCAGAACAACAATGGCAGTGATGACGCCGGCCAGCGGCGTCCGTACACCGGACTTGGCTTTGATAGCAGTGCGAGAGAACGAACCAGTGGCAGGGTAGCCACCCAGGAAGGGACCGAGGAGGTTTGAGATGCCAATAGCGATGAACTCTTGGGAAGGATTGATGGTGTAGTTGTTGACGCGACCGAAGGATTTTGAGATAGCAATATGCTCAATCACCAAGACAATCACTGCTGCCGGCAGTTCTTTTGCAAAGGTCTTGATAATATCAACGTTGATTTTGGGAACGCCCGCATGCTGAAACCCATAAGGAACTTTGCCCAGCATCTTGAAGGCCGGATTGTTGCGACGATGGAGATTGACTGCAGCACTAATCATCGTATAGAACAGGATCACAAAGACGGTGCGAAGGGTATTCAGGAAAAAGAAGAGCTTTGCCTTCCGAGGGTATTTCCTGGTTCCATAGTTGCATGCCGCGCGGATGGCATATAGCATGGCAAGTGCCGTCAAGCCCATGGCAGCATCCATCTGCGAGGTGGGCAGATATTTCAAGGTATTGATGATGACCATGTATGTCGATCCACGGGTAGAAAAATCGGCCGTTTCTCCCAAGACTGTCTTGACTTGTCCGACGCACACATTGATCGCAGATCCGGTCATGAAGGCGGTAATCGCAGGAAGAGGGATGAAGTCGACGATGAATCCGAGACGAAACAGGCCAATGAAGGTCACGATCGCACCGCAGATGATGGCAAGGGCCCCGGCGATCGTCGGGCCGTCGACGTCAGGGTAGTCTTTCTGAACTTCGATGATGATGGTTCCAACTAAGGTGGACATGACGGCCACCGGCTGATCGGGTTAGTTGTTAGTCGTGACAAGGGAGTGGAAGACCTACACCGATGGTGATATCCTTTGATGTGGCGAAGAACCAGTATACTAACACGCCCATGAAGGAGGAATATAGTCCATATTCGGCAGGTAACTTGGCTAGGATGGCGTATGCCATGCCTTGTGGGATGACCACAGCCCCAACAGTAACACCTATAGATGTAAGCCTCACTCACTTCAGTAACTTTTATGAGGCATCTCACCTGCGATCAGATCACCGATGAACCACTGCATGTTGTAGCTCATGATCCAGTGAAGAAAAGGGAACAAGTCGTAGAAATAGCGACCAATTTGGCGACGTGATGGTACGAGCTCGCGCAGCCATTCACCGGCTGTTGGCTCTGTTTCGACATAATGACCAGCAGTATCTGATCCATCACGAAGGTATGGGTCGGTGTTCGATGACAGATCGATTCCGAGCACCTTCGCCAGAAGATGGCCAACTTTTGTGGTCATTTTCCGTGTCAGCAGACAGAGCTTTCAGATCTGTGGCATATACCGGTCAGGAATGGGATCTGGAGGGGAATAATAAATATTAAGCTTATCGCGTGAGAAGTCCCAGATATTTTATCAGAGGACAGGGGATCGATGTCGTGATTTTAGCTCCGAAATGGCAATGCAGCTGGGGCTTGCCATGTGCCGGCCAGATGCACCTCCACGCCCATGCCGAGCGCGCATTGGCCTTTTTCGACATGGCTGAACCACAGATGAATAAAGAAACACGAGACTAAGTGATTGCCTTCTTCTTGGTCAAAATGAGCTGAATGACGATCACTCGTAAGACGTTAAATGGGTGGCATTTTTCGTGTTCGCCAGGAAGGCTCAGTCCTGGCTTATGTCTGCAGGGATCCCTCATGTAACCCAGTAAGCGCTGCTAAGAACAGACTCTAGGCGGTCCTTCCACGGAGCTAGTCCTACTTCCGTGGTCTAATGTTATTACAAACGGAAAAGAGGAAATATGAGGGGCACGATGCAATCACCCAAGCTTTCTGCAACCTGGACCAATCTGTGTGTCTATTGTGCTGCGTAAACAAACGGGATAGGGTTGGCCCAGGGTCCACAAAAGCAGACCCATCTATCATGCTGTCGGTCTCCATGGTCAGAACTAAGGTAAGTGAAGTGCCAATCCAATCATACCATAAGTCTGGTATGCCACTCACATCCACCTTTATTTCTTTCTGCTGGCTGGAAAAGATCTACTCTAGGTATTTCCCAAGGGGCATTACTGAATAAAGTGGAGTAACTTGCTCCACAAGGCTGAAACAACTTGTTTTAAGCATGTTACGGTGGTGGTTGAGGGACCGCATCAGGGAAGGGTCAAGCTCAACCGTCTGTATTAATGTGGAACTCTCTCTACTGAACCAGGCTTTTGATATCACCATCAGACACAGTTTTATATAAGACTTTAATATTCTATATGACGCCAATGCTATGGTTTACGGCGCCATTGACCAGGTTTATCCTGGGAGGGGCGACGTGGCCGGGAAGTGGCCGAGTCCCTCCACTGCCATGGCGTATTTTTAGTCCCGAGCACGCCATCAAGCTAACCGTGGGATGCATTTTCTACCACACACAAACATCCCACATTTCTACTGAAATCCTTGCATGTGTAGCGCCAATGTGCGCTTAATGAGCTGCTGCATCCTGCCAAGAAGCCACAAATACTCTATTCGCTTGGCCCTGCCGTGAAACCCACAAGGCCTCATACGACCGCCAGATAGAACACACGAGGAACACGGAAAGAGAGAGCTACACGAAAGAAGCAAATCCTAAAGGGCACTCTGGCTCTGTCTCGCCTTTCATGATGTCAAACAAAAACGTAATATGGCGATGTGTGTGGTTGGGCAACCAGTGATCTTCGTTCTTCAGATCCTGCAACAAGAGTAACACGAACCGAGATCAGTAGCAACTTGTTGGCCATACGAGTGGGCTCAGCCACGTGGAGTATATTTCAGAGTGCTTGTCATCTTGGAAAACCCCGTGGCTTCCACTTCCACGAACTCTATCGTCGGATAGAACGAGTGCTGCAAAGAGGCACCCAAAGCATGAGAGCATACGAGGAGATCTGATTTCTGGGCATTCTCATGTTCGTAGCCATGAGATATTAAGCTTTCGTACAATTCCAGTAGAAGTCTGTGGGTACGAACCCTGGACACAAGGTTCTTGCAGACAAGGAAAACACCAAACGGTGTCTGGTGTGTGCTGAACGGGAGGTCCTAAGATTGACATCCTCCTGAAAGGGGGAAGGCACATGCTTGATTTCCTAAATCTATGATTAGGGTTCTGTTCTGTGCCTCAATCAACAAAGATAACCATACTCGATGAGATCCAATGATAGGCCGTGAGATTGGCTCGAGTCGCTGTTGAATAATTTTTCCGGGCAAACGGCATGTCTTCTGTACCGGAATTGACCCCAGCGAGATATCTTAGTCCCACAATATTGTCATGCTAATGTTCAATTATGGTGCAAATACATTGAATTGTCCATCCATATTCTGAGTCATTAGCCAAAGCTCGATATCCAGAGGAAGGTAACATACCCAATCGACCAGATCTGCATCCATCCATTCTCGGATATTTTTCAAATCTTCAGATAGATTTTGGAACGGGGTCTCTGAGCTCCCTGCTGGTGGTTCGCCTGCCCCTGCTTGGACTCCGAGAATGTATGCTTAGTTGACTGAAATTGACAGAATAAATTAGTTAGCTTACTGTAAATGGCGAAGTATGTGATACGCTCTGAGACAGATATGACCGGCCCGACAGATCTTTCATGCGGGCAATCAAACTCTCAATCTCTTCTCGAAAAGATTCTAATTTATGTTCCGTGTCGTCTTGGAGACACGAATTCAGGGCCACGGCTGCATGGAGTGCTTTCAGACTCATCACCCCACTAAGCAACCAGAAGTAGTTTCGAAGGATTGGAGCTTCGTAGAGTTGTCTGTGAAGGGAAATCAGAGCTGCGCTAGAGCTAATACACCTTTCTCTGGAGATTGCAAAAAAGCAAGATGCTTTGGAAAGGTGAAACGGCCGCTGTAGCAGAAGATAGAGATGATGCGCGTACGTCTGTAAGACGCACCAATAGGCGTAACGATTAGAACCCAAAATATTGGGAGAGCCATCAACCATATAGGCCGCATCCCACCGTTCTTGCTCCACCGCTATCGCAGCATCGAGATCACGCAAGGCCTGCTGGTCGAGACGTGAAGACCCCGAAGTATGACGACAGATCTGAGTGGAAAGCCGGAACAGTCGAAGCTTGGCCATCATGACTGACATCTGTGTGCGCTCGCTACAAGATTTCTGCACAATGCCCTCGTTGGTAACATCAACTTACTGAACATCGGCAGGTAAAGGGATCTTGAATGCTGAGAAGGTATGACATATCGAAATTTCGGGAAAGCATTCCCTGATACGTGTGCAATGTCAAAAGACCAGCCCAACAGCGTCGCCGCCTTCGGTCTCGATGGTGCCCAGGTTCTTCTGTTCCATATTTCAACGTAACGCAATGCCAATATTCAATGTCATTCCCAACAGGGCCCAGCCTTGGTCGAAAGATTCATTGTGAAAGAGACTGTATACCACCATTAATAGAGCCTCGAAGGTGCTGATTGTGTGCCTCATCAAGAAATCGCCCTGCAGAAGGCAGGTTATTGCAGTCCGAAGCAGACGGCGAGACACAGAAACCGTGATAGGAACCGTGCTTGCAGCTTGTGTGATACTCGAAGGCAGCTGAGACCAGACGCGCTTTAGCCTGGGGTCACTTTCATCTAGAGTGTTCAGAGACAAAGAACATAAAGCGAAAAGCACAGCTAGCCAAGGTAAGTCGACATCTTGAGGGCGTTGCATGAACGCCGTATACTGTTTCTGGAAAGTTGGACCATGAAGAGTAGGAAAGAATGCGAAGAAATATTTAAAAAGGTGTGAAACCAGATAGTCGCAACATGACTTCGGCGGAAGCGAGTCAATCACCTGGAGAGAGATGCGAGGGCTTATAGAAAGGGGTGATAGTGTGCCACTAACATCCTCTGGCACAGGGCGCTCAAGCACAGTTTCCCAGTGTACACCGGGAGGTGATATTTCTACTTCAGATATAGTCTGTTCGGGCTGCGAAATTGAAGAGTTGGCACCTTTTCGTCTCGGTGTAGCCGGAGATCCTGCTCCGTTACTCAACGCAGATGACGCCGATGTGGTCACGGGCTTCCTGCGGGTTTTCCTTGATACGGATGGACCAGCAGGGGCCTCGTATGAGCAAATGGACTCGCGCTTGCGACGCTTGCACGCACCACAAAGATGCTGACGATCGCATCGCAACTTAGAGCGTCAGCATTCCTCGCAATTAACAGCTTTGCGCTTCCGCCAAAGGAATTCGGAGACTTCCTGGATGGCCCCGTTATGGATCAAGTTGTTGCCCAATATTCTCCTCGTCGAGAATGAGGACAAACAAATACACGGAAGCCTGGTTACTATTCAGGATAAGAGTCCGAGGTGGAAAATGTTGGTCGGAGATAGCATTGATTCAGTCATTGAAGATTGCCACATAACGTAGAAGATCGGTGCCCGTTGGTGAGGGTCGGAGCAAGAAGTTCCCATTTAACACATGAGAGAAGAAATTTCTATGCAACCACCTTTCCCATAGAACCGGGAAAACCTGGTCAACAACATTCAGTCCACCCGTTATGAAGGAATGTATATACCTAATCATATCCGTAAGGCGTAATGAAGCGTCTTTTCACTGGTTCATAGCTTGAGGTTGTCTAGTTCAAGCTAGGTCACATGATTTCTATCAACTTACCAATACCAGAAAATGCAAACTGTCATACAGTTCACAATATATATGGACTTATGGCAAAAAAATAGCAGATGGATTCTGCATATTCCCAGGGTTGGTGTATGGAATAGACTACCGTGTGTATCTAACCAGATTTTCATAAGTACTATTGACGTTTAGGCTGTATTGGGTTGCATAAAGTCGATCAACTCAACTCCGATGGATCGGCGATAGAGGCTAGCGGATCGGAGATGCTATGACTATAGAAGTCTGTTAGAGTCATTCTTTCTTTGGAAACCTTTCACCATCTTACTAGCCTATAAACTTCTTTCCTTCTTGTCACGCATAGGATACAGGAAATGGAGGTTTATCTCCAGTACCAACGGGTTCGAAAATCCGTGCAACAGCACTTAGCAAAGCTGAAAGACGATTGCAGCTGTCCGAGCTACTCTGTCAACGCCAATCATGGTCCTGAGTAAGACTATGTGACAAGTTAGTCAGGTGTGCGAGTGTCTAATACAAGTCTATGTAGCTGCAAACTGAGCGACTATCATAGTAGCCTGAAGAATTTGCCTGCCGGATCGACGACCCCTGACGCTGCGATTCTTGTAGGCTGGGAAGGGGAAAATGATCCCTTAAATTCTGCAAACCTGTGCACCTCACGGAAGCTCTTCATGACTTTCTTGGTATCATTGATAGCAGTTGCTGTGACTGCCGCCTCGGCGATTGATGCTTGTGGTGTCAGGGAATATAGAGCATACTTCCAGGTATCGGAAGTTGTCGGGTCTCTAGCTACAGGTATGGTGGTATCTCACTGGGCTCTATCATAACACAAAGCTGAACTCTTCATGTCTCTGAATAGGCCAGTTCCTTATCGGTTTGCATTCGGTTCCCTTCTCTCCGGCCCTTTCTCTGAAACATGCGGGCGTAATGCCATTTATTCCACAACAATGCTCCTTTTTCTTGATCTTCGTCATGCCACCAGGACTAGCTCCAAACCTCCATAGTCACCTTATCTTTCGTTTCTTTGCCGGCCTCTTCGCTTCCACCCCGTTAATCTGCGCTGGTGGCACGGTTGCTGACTTATGGAATCCGCTGGAAAAAACCTATGCTTTTCCTGTTTACGCTATACCTGCATTTGACGGGCCCATTATCGGCCAGTTTTGGGAGCTATATTTCAGTCACACTAGGCTGGCGCTGGCTAGAGTGGGTAAAGCTTATCGTGGGTGGTGTGGTTCTCGCTCTAGTCCTTTTATTCCAGCCTGAGACATATGGCAACCTTATCCTCTACTGGAAGGCTTCCATCCTTCGAAAAGAGACCGGTCATGAGAGATACAGAGCTCCCATTGAGATCAATCAAAAGAGCCTCAGTCAGCGATTGAAGACCTCTGTGTACCGGCCACTTGCGATGTTTTACTCGGAACTAATCATCATCCTGATGTCGCTCTATCTGACGATTATCTATATTGTCCTTTATACCTTTCTTGAGGGGTATACCTGTATTTTTGGCGATGCATATGGCCTCTCCGAAGGACTGACCAACCTTTGCTGGGCTAGTATGCTCATTGGGACCTTGCTAGTCAGCGGCGTGGTGCCGGTGGTTTATAGCTTGACTGCGAAGGCCTATGCTCGAGATAAGTCCACTATTGCACCTGAGATGAGACTCTGGTACATGATGCTTGGTGGCGCAGTAGCAGTGCCGATTAGTTTGTTTTGGATGGGATGGACAAGCAATGTAAGTCTATAAGGATACTCCCACTTGTTTTGCAACATGCTAACCTTTCCCTGTCTCCACAGCCAAGTATCTCAATATGGTCCCCTTTGATTGTCCCCGTCTTCTTCGGCTACGGTATCACCACCATCTTCATCGTTGCATACTTGTATCTCATCGGTTCCTACGACACATATTCTGCATTCGCTCTGGGATTCCCCGTGTTCACGCAATATGTAATGGCGGGAGGCGTAACTGTTGCTGGGGGTCCGATCTATGAGGCTCTTAGCGTGCAGTATACCCTCACCATTCTGGGGTCTATCAGTGCAGTTATGGCGTTGGTGCCTTATTTGCTTTACTTCTTTGGGCCTATCACCAGCAAAAAGAGCAAATATGCCTTGAATGTTGACACTGAGTAATAGTCCAGAAATGGTGTGATGGCTAAGGGTCTATATCGTTGTTAATGGGTGTGCTCAAGAATCACTGACTCGGCTCTCATAATACATAGGATCAAAGACTTTGGGAAGTGCTAGAGCTCAAGCGTCTTTTTTTGTTATCAAGGAGGGACGAAATTCAAATAGACAAGATAAATAGATAGGGAAAGAGCTTTGAGAAGGTGTAAAGGACACATTACGGATACAGATGCTTATGATACTACATCACAATTGTTTTTCATGAATAAAAATACCAGCGACAAATAAGGTCTTCAACAAGACATTGAAAATCGAGAAGCACTCGAACTGATCAAGACAGCGTTCGTGACGACCTCAATCAAGGATTGAGAACATCGACGAATGTCAACAATGTCGACTATTGTACAGAAACGATTGGCTGCGATATCCCAATGTAGCCTTTAGGACAAAGGAGCGGGCTGCTTGACATGCGAGGAATCATCGAACCCCTATGGTACCTACTGACGTAACCACTCGAATTCGGCAATAATATCCCCTTTCCCACCATCATCCCCAATCAGGACACCGCGACTGAGCCAGCAGATCCTTCAGGCTGAAGTAACACATTGATGGTACCAAGGGTTCTGCTCCACGCAGGTGCAAGGCGACTCACACTCGGTTGGGCCAGCATAATTAAGGCCTCCGCATTGGCCCCAGTGCGAGACAAGATTGCCCGAGCTAGCGGCCGCGGATTGAATGTTGCTGCTGCTGCTGCTGCTGCTGGCGGGGGTCTGAACGTAGGCATGCACGGCAGCGGTAGTTGTACCCGGGCTTGCGACAGATGCACTACTGACCGAAGGGGAGGCAGCGGATAAGCTTCCCGAACCACTTCCGTTCCACACGTCATCCCCAATCGGCGTTTCCAGTATATCCATCTGAATCTTCTCAGCCGAGTCGACCCAAAGATTGAGGCCGTTGAACAGGGTCATGCTGTCGTTGTAGAGACCGGGAATTTGGTATGTGAGACTGGGAGATCCAGTTCCCGAGCCTGTGACCTTTACCTGTGCACAGCTACATTGGCGGTGTTAGCATCATTGCTCCTTGAATGTCATAAATTTGAGCGTGATTTTCTCACCTGTAGAAGAACTCAGCCTCGTTGGCCTGAGCCCCATGCAAGCCCACATGCTCGGCGCGCACCAGGTACTCGCCTGCTGGGGTCTCAGCAGGAATCTGAAACTCGAACTCGGACATGCCCCAGGTGCACCAGGCGTCCTTGGTCAAGTCGGCTTCCTCGTTGCAGAGCGTTCTTTCCCAGATCTTGAACCATTCGCCGTCGCCTTCGTATTCCTGGACATTGCCGGTGGGTGCCTTGGACATAACTGTCATTCGAGGAAACCAGGTCATTAGAAGGTGAGTGACTATGACAGGGAGAGGGATGACTCGTACAAACTTGGCCCGGGCCGGGGTGCGCAATACTGGTGTCGTAGAAGAGCTTCATCCCGATGGTATCGCCCGCCGCTACCTCGGCGACGTCGGTCTTTGCGGCATTGCTGAACGAGCCCAGGTTGCAACGAAAATCGTTGTCGTTGGGTGTCAAATTGTCAAAAGTGTTGGTGAACTTGGTAGGCTCGTAGCAGATGCTGCGAGTGGTCTCACGAATGTACTGCCAGTCCGCAGAAGCCTCTCCGTTCAACACGAGCTTGCTGAAGATATAATGAGCGGAAGCCGTGGGTGCCAGACTGGCAGTGACTGCAACGGCCAGAGGAAGATACTTCATTGTGTCTGGCTGAGGATCGAGACTAATTTAAAAACGAAAGAAAGAGTATGAAAGTATAATGAATTGAAGTGAAAGAGTGACGAGAGCCTGACACCTGGTCAGATTGAATCCAGCTCGATAATGAGAAGTCAAAGTAAGGAGTGATATCTTGTATAGTTCCTCTCGCAGAAGAAGAGGATCAATGAGGGTTTATATGAATGTGCCAAGCACGCCGCAGCTTATCTCTGCCTTCGAATGTCCACAGCTTGAGTTCCTGCTATCCCAGTCCTTCATTTCCCCATCACGGCGCTGCGGCGGGCTTCTCCGAAACAATATGTCGCACCATTATCATGGACAGCATCCAGTCCACTTCCATATACCTGGCTAAATGTCGGTTGTACCTTCCTGGCCATGCCATATCCCTGGTATGCTAGAGCTCAATACAATATTGAACCCATAGTGTGCTTTGAGGCTCTATGTAAGCGCAACTGTCTTCTTTTCACGAGTCCTGTAGTTGAATAGCTTCCACATTCTTCTAGACAGTCAGGTCAACCTGTAGTTGACTGTTCGATCCTCGCCATTCGCCACCCAGTCGGGCCTGTGGCAGCTGTATCTCCTAGTCTGAGTGATGCCGTACTTGCGTGCAGTTGGCGGCATAAATTGAAGGTAAACAGGCAGAAGCCCAGCCGTCCAATCAGATCCGACCGATCCTAGAATCAGGAGATAGCGATACAGATACTGATTCCACTTTTACTTTGCTCGAAACAGCCAGTGTTTGTCAATGGTGCAATGCGCGCTCCGGTGACTCTCATACGGGACTTGGTTCGGTACTTATCGCACGTCGATACCCGTGGCTGTTCAAGCCAAGAGTGCGGAATCCCATTCCGGATGTTCGAGACCCTGAACCCTTACAAGTGGGGCACTAAGAATTCATCCCTGTCCTGCTGTCTGCGTGAAGCGCCCAGGAAACCCTTTGACGAATCTTCTTCAACTTATCCTACCTCAAGGTTGTTTGAGACAAAGCCACATCGTACTCATAAGGGGCGTTGACCAACCTAAATTGGTCTTTCAGCTGGGATGCAACTTACACTTAAGCCGTCAAGGTGAGAGCCACCTCTACTGCGATTATTCTTGGAATCGCTATTTGTGGTAAGATGAGCCGCGGGACTAAGAAGCCGCGGGACTAAAGCTTCCGATTGGAAGTGGAGCCAGTAACCACTGAGATCCAGGAGAATGTATCATCGGACATGTCGTTGCCAAGCATCACATACTCCATGTGATTGGCCTTTTGCTGGTTCTTTCCACCAAAGGACCTCAGGGAGTTCTAATTTGGGTGGCCAAGTTGGGTTAGTATCATCTGAAACACACCGATTGCCTAGACTTGTCAATCGTGAACCTGGGTGAGCTCAGACGATCAAGCTCTGAGTGTACTCCATAAGTTACCTGCCAGGCCTGCTCCAGCCTATGACTGGGTGTTGATTTGTACTATCAATGGTTCGAAAATGGGTCCATTGCTCGCCAAAGTACTAGGGTATGTGCCTGACGAGCATCTCACTACCTCGTGCATGGTAAGCTTCAGTAGTTTCCTGAACAAGTCTACCTTCTTCAGCCTTAAGCACTCTTGTGTCATCAGTTCATAAGTTCGCTTTAGCCATAGGCACATCAATGTCTTCCGGTTCGAAACCAGCTCGTGAGTTATTTTCTTTCCTCTTCTGTTCTCTGTGCGCTTTACTTGCGGAAAGGGCCCGATTCTGGCTTCGCGTGGAGCCACGAGGCCGTTTTTCATCTGAAACAATTCCGTAGTTTAGACTTTCCTTGGTACCATCCACTTTGATGACACCAACTTCGATATGGGCTGAGGAATATTTTTAGCTCTGTACATTTCCACTCCCGTATTGCCGTGGGTTCGAATTTTTCTATGAGGAACTTGGCAAATGCTTCAAGGGTTTTCATTATAGTGGGTCCAATTGACCCACTTGACTGCCTTATACTCACGGACTGCTACCTACCAACTAGACCAAAAGAGATATATCCCCGTGAGATATTGGCGCGTCTCGGTTAAGACCAAAGCCGTAACCAAAGCAGCCATGCAAGGCACCCGGTTATCTGCTTATCTCTGAACTGAGTATGGGTGCACAGATAACCTTTTTGCTTACATGGTCGCACAGCTTACCGATTAGGTTACGGAGCACAAGTCCGCAGAGGGCATAGCGTTCCTGAAACATTGCGATGACAGGTGTGAGGACTTACAATAATCATTGGCTCCCATGCGTTATGATATTGATTTTTGTGCGAGATTTCAACTATCCGTAGTTGCAGCATTTCAAGATGAGACCAGAATGAACCCTATCTTGATCCGAAGTATAACCGGTACCCCTAAGAACATGATCATCTACTATCCCTGAACGTGCGTAAATAACTATGAACCCACAGACTTACTCAACTAGTCTGGCAAGTAATATGTTCAGAGGACGAGACGGCTACCGACAACCGAAGATGAAGCAGAAAGCTATAAATTAATATAGATGGTCTTCTTGGTCAACGAGAAAGGCAATTTATCCCACAGCATCACGATCATAAAGCCATTGGGCTTGTCCAGGGTCGCCGGCTTCTCCATCGGGCGCCATATAATCGCAGTGATTATTATACTGTTGGCCATAGATGTACAAGATAATCCAACCGGTTAATTGAATCAATTTCCACGCCGAAGAGTGATCGGTGCCACAGTTAAAGTGGTTTCTGGGCAGTCAATATAAGCTCCTGGCATGTAATTTGACATTCCGTGAATATTCATCGCATTTGGAGCCTTCTTTGTGGAACAGTTGGGTCACTTGGAGGGTTAGGCGTCCAATTCACGTTAATCACATGTCTTCTGCACGCAGGCCAAAGAGATTAACCAGGCAGATAGACAGCGGGATTGCTCCGTATATCCAATATCGCTTAGAGATTGTTTCATAGTGCTACAACCGTAGCCTAAATGGATAAAGTGCCCGTGGAAGGTACAGTTCGAAAGAACCGTGGAAATTGCTCCCCCCCTTTGTCGACAGGTAAATGATATAAAGGTAGGTGTCTGCCAAACAAACATTGCCATCTCATCACCCTCACCTTCTAAGTCACAGTTGTACCCTTCTATTTGGATTTCATCCTTTCCATCCTAATCATGGTGTCTTTCCTTGGCCAAGCACGCCTGGCCGTGCCAATCCTGTCAGCCTTTGCGTGGATGCTTGCGGCAAGTTCCGCCATCCCCCCACCTCCGCCTGGAACCCTCTCACCTGAGCGTCTTCAATGGATCAGGGAAGTGATCGGCAATCAGACCGAGGGCGGCAGCATTTCGGATCTCGCTAAGCGGAGCACTATCCTGCATACCAGCCAAGACGGCGTGGACAGCGGGGGATTCTACTACTCCGTGTACAATGACAACGGAGCCAGCGTTGGATACACTGAATACCCCACGACCGGCCAGTTTGAACTCGGCTGGAACACTGAGACGGAATTCCTTGGTGGGAAGGGCTTCAAGGGTGGCAGCACGCGGTAAGTTCATCTTTCCTCCTCTCCCCTCTTCCTTCTCACTTGACAGAGCCGAGGAAAGCTGACAGCTGTTCGGCTCAGCTCCTTGACCTGGGACGGTTACTTCACCGCCGAGGGTGACTGGACTTTGGCCATATATGGCTGGACCCTAAACCCTGTCACCGAGTGGTATATTGTGGAGTCGCATGGCACTGGAACCCCAGGCAACGGGAACATCCTCGGCCAGGTCGATAGCGATGGCGGTGTCTACGATGTCTACAATCTCCCCTACAGAAATGTTCCCGAGATCTACGGTGTCACCAACTTCGACCAGCACTGGTCGGTGCGTCGCTCCCACCGTTCCACCGGCACTGTCGACGTGAGCACCCATTTCCAGCGCTGGAAGGAATTGGGTCTCAACCCTGGCACCCCGATCTTCCAGATGGTTACTCTGGAAGGCTTCTCCGGTCAAGGGTACCTGGATTTCACCGTCCAGGCGTAGAGAAGATCAATGGCCATGTACTCCCCGGGCACTTGCCCGAGGTCATTCCCCGCCACATGTATCACTATAAAGACGTTTAAGAAATAACCAGAAGCCCCCTTTTCCTTCATTTTTGTTTTTTTTTTCTCTTTACAATGCTTGTCTTTACCCGCTTTCTTTCTTTCTTTTTTTTTTCGCTTCTCTTCGAGACATCAACTACTTTGTAAACCTTTAAATAACATATTGAGTCTGGCGGCTGCTGCAGTGCTTCATTGTCCAACTATCTTGTTTATAATCTTCACTTGTAATCATCGATTGTAAGTCTAATCTGAGGTTCCAAAAACTCAAAGTGCCGTGGTCAGGTTAAATTGGCAGCATTGCCGCCTTTTAAGTAGTGTTACGATTACTCGCAACTAACCTGGAGTGCTCTTCTTCGTGATGAACCTCATGATCTGTGAGCCCTGATCAAGACCTGAACTTCGCCGCACTGCAGCCCCAGAGCAACCGAGGAACAGAGGGATGATACATCCGTTTTCTAGTCTTTCACAAAGCTTCTCCTACATCCTCATTACGCGCCCTGACACCGAACCCCGTTGGGAAACGAGAAGAGTGAGAGGTCATCTCAAATGAATCATTTGCACATTCGACTTCCTATTCTCGCGCCGTTATCTATTATATATTTTCTCGCAATTTTTAGTAGAGATATTTTTCTTAGTGTAGTACTTATTTCTAAAGGTCTGTGGTTCTTCCTGCAATTGATATGTGCAAAAGATACTTATATTTCTGAATACCATAGATGCATATTGCGGTACCAGGATCTACTAGACAACTTACTTCATCTTTATTGGTGAAGGGAAAGTTGACTAGATCGTGTAAGAAGGTACACCTGGTGGAGATTACTTAAAAGTGGGGATACATGATGCAAATACGAATTTACGAATATAAGATGTGCGGATATACGAATATACGAACAACTTTAGTAGAGGCATGAAATTTCGACATACCAGCCCCCATAATAAGGGGTTTCTCGGCATTATAAAACGTATCGTTTTCATGTTTGGCTGTATTGGGATTAGTGAGTATAGTTATAAGGTGATTGAGTGGATAAGTCCATTCTCACTATGGCTCTCTGAGATGGTATCTTGTTGGGCGGGAAAGGGTAAACGAGGACTCTGACTGACGTCTGAAAATATTATTTATACGGTAAAAAGTCTTCAGGATTTGCAAATATACACAGTTTGATTATCACAACTTTATCTTTGTAATGCATCTATGCGTTTGGTCCGAAATCAACGCCGCGAACGCGTACAGAAGTAATATAAATATACCCAATACATCAATCAGGCGGGTTGTTTCCAACGAAAGACCTTCCCACCCTGCACCTCAAGCGTTCCGTTAAGAGGGCCAGGAAGAACAACAGTACCTTTAGTACCCACAGGAGCGCTGACAACAATATTGAAACGTCCGCTGCCATCGAAAGACCAATCAACCCTAATGTTACCGTGAGGAGTAGGATACTCTCCCCGTGCCCAATCCAGTCCCAAAGTCTGAGGAGCGACTATCCACTCCCTGAAACCAGGAGTAACGGGCTGGATCCCAAGAACATAACGGCTCAGATCAGCAGTGGGCCCTGCACTCCAGGCATGACACAGCGAGGTTCCAGACCCGATGCCGGGAGTACCGTCGGGGTTCATGACCTCCCACATACAGCCAGTGTAGTTGGCGTTTTTCGGGTCACTGATCGGGCCCCAGATACTGTGGAGAAGTTTTTTGGCATTAACGCCATCGTTCGCATGGAATGCTGCCTTGAGATGGTAGCCGGAAGCATAGGGGCTGATTTTCTGGGCGAATCCGCTGGCCATGCTGGCGTTGGAGAAGGAGAGAGCGCCTTTGGGAATATATAATTGGTGCGCCATGGTGGATAGTAATGTATTAGTACGATTGTCAGTTAGTTTTGTAGTGTCACTCAGGATGGCCAGGGCGTTGGCTTCCTGCGAGAAGAAGTCCTGATATGTTTCAGAGTGGTAGTAGGCCTGGAGTTTGTCGCTCCACAAATGATCGTTGATTGCTTTCTGTAAGTTCTCCAGCCGCCTTTGATAAGCGGTGGCATTGATGTTTGCCGGCGCCAGATACGGGATCCATTTCTTCAGCGAGTGAGCGTATAATATGTTGAATTGGGAGACAATCCCAGATGAGGCGGGATCATAGACGTCCCATCCCCCACCGATGGCGGGATCGGTGATGTTAAGCAAGTTATTTGGTAGGGTCTGCGAGTGCGCCCAATCAAGCATGCGCATCACTTTCGGAGCCCAGCGATGCAGAAACACTCCATTACCAGTCTGCTCATAGAGATTGGCCATTGCACTCAGCAGATTGAACGAATATCCGATCAAACCGGTCGTATTTGCGTCAACATCCGTGGTTCGAAGGGGCTGCTGAATCTTTGCATTCGGAACAAAAAACCCGGGAGTCATCTGGTAGGAACCGAGCAGCTCAATAGAGCCGTTGATGTAATCGATACCATTGGTGCTGGCGAATGCTGTACTGCTGGCCATGTCTAGATCGCCGGCGTAGGCAATACGATCGCGTCGAGAGCCGTCGACGCTGACAGGTAAAGGGTTGGTCCCCACAAGGAAGTCTGAGAGCGCCGACTCATCCTTCAAGGTTGAAAAATACTTTTGCTCTCCCCCGACTAACAATGACAGGTTGGTGAAAACGGCAGAATGTCCGAAAGACGCGCCCACACCAAAGGAGCCATAGAAAGATGCGGTCTGGGAGAAGTCGAGCACAGTGATGTTATCGATACGAACAGATATTTGGGACAGATTCACGTTGCTCTGAACCTTGTGCCAGTCGTTCAGAATGATCGAAGAGGGAAGGTGACCTGAGGCAATGATAGGGTCCAGATCAGAAGACCCTGCATGCGCAGAGATTGAAGCATTGGCAATATCGACAAAGATGTAGATCCCGTTGGACAAAGTATCACTGAGTACATTAAAGCTGAAGCCCCTGGAGATCGGCTTTACAGAGAACACCAGGTCATAAGTCGTCAGCGAAGGAGACCAGATGGTATAGAAGGGTTGCGGAGCAAGACTGTCTATCAAGGCTCCTTCATCAGTAAGAACCCAAAAGTCTGGAATACTGTTAGCTGGGAACTCAGTAAGCTGCGATGTCCGAGCTCCCGCATGCCAAATCCGAGTCAGCACTTCATCAGAACAGTTGAACGAGCCCGGAAGATCTGTCAAAGGGATATTGGAGACAGTTGGTTTGAATCCAACTAGGGATAGATGCATCTCCCCCGCACTGGACAGGTTCAACTTCTGGTATCGCAGTCCGCCCTGGATGAGCCTGTTCGTGTAGGTCCTTTCTTCCGTGACGTTGTATCGATTCACGCGGTATGTGTCCATCGTCGCATCAAAGGACAGAGAACCGTCAGCCTGATATAAAGGAGTCCAGAATTAACGATCGCAATTTGTGGTGAGCAAGACGGGAAGTTGGCTCACCATGGTTGATCCCAGTAATGCATATGTTTCGCTATAGGCCATTTCAAACCCAGAGGTGTCCCCGGACATGGATGAAACCTGGAAGGTAGCATAGCCTTCGACATCTCGTCCGTAGTCAAGAATTATTATTGCGGGAGTCACCCCGTCGGAGGAGAGCTTAAGCACTGTATCATTCTGATACTCAATCCATTTATTCTGCGAGGCGTTTGCATATGCAGTAGGCCGATAGGAGTTCGAACAATGTCCAGAGGCAAATAGAAAACCAAAGAAGACTAGATCATAAGCGAGTCTCATAATGATTCGGATCTCCGCAGGACTCCTTCAGGGTTAAATCCGATGTCAGTCTGGTGAACATGCAACAAGCTGTCACGGATGTGCGGGCTATCTTATATTCGACATCTTCTTAATGCTGAGTCACTAAGACCCCTTTCTCCCCTGACAAAACGAATATACGAGAATACATGCGGCACACAATGCTGCCTGCAAAGCTTGGCGTCTCCCTTAATCCCATGGTACGTAGCCACCAGCCGAGCCCTACCAGGAAGTCGATCCCGTTGGCACAGGGCCCCGGCGCCTGCCCGAAGCTGCCCGGCATTAGGCTCGGATCGACGTAGAGCGAAGCAGATACGAATGTACGAAATTCCTACTTCCTACCACATTGAGTTTCGATTGCCACCGACCGCGAAACTCGTGGCAGTGCCAAATAAATCCTGAGGTACCTCGACTCTCCAGTAAATTTAGACTACATCTAGAACTGGGATAGAAAGGAGTACTGACTAGACAGTAGTCACTCGGACATCCTTTTCTGTCTCTAGCAGCCATTTAATTAGGATTACTATTAAACACCACAGGGGCACTACTAGTCACGAATGCAGGAACAATTGATATAAACCAACCAAGACACGGCGTCTGCGCCATCCCAGCCATAACATATACCACGCAAATATCAAACACAATCAACGGGCTTGTCATGACATCGTAAAGGTAGACCATCGTCTCCTACAGTGGTCTACCCAGCATCCGGAGACGCTCCCTCAATGCATCCGCCTCGCGGTCCTCTTCCGCATCTGACCTTCTTTCTCTCAGTGATACGGACCGATACTCTCCGTCTCCTCCGGGTGCCCCTACAGTCACCCACACGAACTTGCTTCCGCTGCCCCCTGCTGCCCGCTCCTGGGAGCCCTCCCAGAACAACTCCATGGGGGTTGCAGCGCCTGACGCCTTGTCATGTGTGGGTCGTCCTCCAAGGCGCCCTTGCTTCACCCACCCTTTCATTACCTCCTTAATGAAATTGATCTTCTGTAGGAACGAATTGGCGTCTAGGATATCCCGAACACGTTCATCTGCGGAACTCGTGCCAGTGCCATACGCAATGCCGAGGAAGGTGGCAACTTCGTCCGAAGTGACTGCCCGAGTGTCGAATCCAGATGGGTGCATCTTGCCCTTTGTGCTGAGGTATCTTGCTGCAGAGGGCGAAAGGTGATAGAAGTCGATCCAGGGTGAGGAGCTTCTTGTGCGTCCAGGAGCGATCACGAGCTTCGTGTGATCAGGGAAGTTGAACTGTTTGATGTGTTAGCTGGTGCGACTGACATGTAGAAGATGGTTGACATACCTGGAAGGCACCATCCCCGAATCCCCAGACGCCAACATTCCCCAGTCGCTGGTAGAACTTGATGAATTGGCCCGAGCTACCGGAAGTTAACTCGTCCTCCAAAACTGCGTCATCTCCGTGTCGGCCTAGAGACCCGATCATGTATTTGCCGAACTGATCGACGAGCTTAACTCGTTTGATCTTTTCGGCGTCCGCACGCGCGCATTCAAGGCCGGAGTTGGTGCGGATCTTGATGCCGGCCGCAGAAGATCCGCTGGAGGAGGCCTTGACCTCGAACAGCGATGGTGAGATCAGAGCTCGCCGAATTCCGCCACGACACTCGGCGAAGTCGCGGGTACAATTTTCATAAAATTCTACCGGCTTACCATGGCGAGGAATGAGCTGGTCAGCCTCGGAATACCCATAGATCGCTCCCTCTTGTTGCTCCTGGCTACGGGCCTTGCGCCGGATGTGTTTTTCGCCATCCCGCACTACTACGCCACTTGCAGGCTGGCCATTCTCTGCCTTGAAGACGCATCCTACGCTGCCATCGTCCAAGACATAGCCAATACCATACCGATTCGTGTAATCCACCCATTTAATCACATATGCGTGGGTTGGTCGTCGAAGCCCAGCCCGTCTCCGGGCTGCTGAGTGTGGGACCATGTTGGACAGCATGTGTCGCAGATCCATGTTCACGTCATCAAGGGACGTCCTTGGTAGCGCCTCCCATGGGTCTTCCACATGAAACAAGGGGTGCAGGCCTAGTGTCGAGCGTGGCTTGCTTGCAGATGAAGCTGTCTTACTGCCAGACCGGCTCAGTGGTTGTGAAGAGGGATCAGGTCGTGCAGGTTTTTCGGTCACGCTCTCCTGGGACGCGGCAGCTTTCGGCGGTTCTTCTTGTTTCAGCACATCTCTGGTCTCAGATCTCGGCATTGATCGTTGGGACGGCTGGCGTGGTCTAACTGGCAAATGATCCATTGCTACGGATGCAGGTCGTTCTTTGGCAGGGGGCGGCAGATGGCCAGTCTCCTGGCTGCCTGACTCCAGTCTGCGAGACTGCGAGCGCGTCTGAGAGCGAGTTTGGGAGCGAGTCTTTCCGATTACCAGAGATTCCGGTGCCGTACTAGACTTGGGGATCTGTGGCGCAATGTTTTTGTCTAGATCGCGCAACGAACCCGAGTACGATGCTGCCACACCGCGCCGTGCGCGAATTGGCCGCTCCGCAAGACCACCTGAAGGTATAACTGCTGGTTTTGCTTCGGCCTCCTCCTCGAACAAAGCCTTCGCTGTCGGTACGGGATCGGAGATAGCTGCGATTTTCCGGACAGAGCCTCTGCCTGTAGCTGCCTGCTGCCGCAGAGTTGCGGCATGGCTCTGCGATTCTTTCCGCCGCTGCTGAGCAGCAGCCAGCGCCGCTTGAGTTCGGGTCAGTGAGGCCACATTACTCCGAGCAGATGCGCTGCTCTTTCTTGACAGGACACTGTCTTCGAAAGAGGAGCCATCTCTGCGTGACAGCAAGGAAGTATCAGGGTCGCTCCAATCACCTATTGGGTCATGGGGGTACCTGTACACAATATCCTCTGGAAGGGGTATGACAGGCTGGAATCCTTTCTCCTCCTCGGATAAGCATTCGGCATATGCTGACTTCGAGCAGTTCTTTCCCGCGGCCTTCCGTGCTGTACCGTCTGGTTTTCTGCCCACGCCACAGAGTGTGTAGAACGCCGCCCTGCAGACCAGGTATCGCTGACTCGGATCATCGATGTGTTCGATGTAGCCAGACAACTTCTCGTCGTATTCCAAGCTGCTCCCAAACATCATTCGATCGCCGCGGGGCTCGTCCGGCTTTAGCCAAACGGGCCTACTAACGCTGCAAGACGGGTCAAGTCGTTTGGGTATGCAACCGTCATACATCCTGAAAAACGGGTGTTCGACGATGTCGTCCGGCTCAGGGCGCTCTTCTTCAGCGAGGTTCAGACACCAGCTCACGAGCGACTTCGCCTCTTCGGGGATGTAGTTGGCGCACTCGGTGCCTTTCGGCCACACGTATGCCAAGTTCCGCACCTTTTTATAAATCTCCTCTTGCGTTTTTGATTGGAACGGCGGGTACCCAGTAAGCATCGCGAAACTAGAAGGAAATTAGCATGAAGTTGGTAGAGACAAATTGGTTGCAGGCTTTACCAGATGACCCCCAAAGACCAGATGTCGACCTTCTGTGTATGACCGCCTTTACTTTTGTCGAGAACCTCTGGTGCAATGTAATTCGGTGTCCCGCACAACGTCCTTCTCCTTTTTTCATCCCTCTCGGACATGATCATTGCTGCCAGACCGAAGTCGCCCACTTTGATATCCATGTTCTGATCCAGAAACAAGTTTCCCATCTTCAGATCGCGATGCGCAACATTTCGCTTGTGTAGGTATTTGATCGCACCGCACAGTTGGACCATGAATCGTCTGACCTCGGGCACACTTAGACACTTCCTCTTTCTGACCATATCCATGACGGACCCATTCGGACACAGTTCCAGAATGACGTATATACTGCTGTCGAAGACGAAGGCGCGATGGAAGCCGACGATGTGAGGGTGGCGCATTTTCGAGTGAATCTGAAGCTCGGTACGAAACTGTGATGGTCGGTCAGCATACCACTTGCAACTACGCGGCATCACAAGGAAGTAATCATGTTATATACCTTCTCTTGCATCTTCTTCTGTGCCATTTCGGATCGAACCACTTTCATAGCAAAGACACGGCCGGTTCGCAGTAGTGTCCCTTCGTAGCAGATCGCAAAACCTCCCTTCCCAAGAAAAGCGCCGGTCGAGTATCGCTCTCCATCCTCTTCCGGCTCCAAAATCAATGATGGTGGTGGCGGCGCATGATTTTTCGATGACGAAGCTTTCTGAGCGGCGGCGGCAGCGGCGGCATTTTTATCCAATACTTTGCGCTCCATAGAGATCTTTGGCTTGACAATTTGGTTTGTCGACCGTGGTGACAGCGCCTCCATCTTGCCTTGAAGCAGCACTTCGTGCCTTAATGTGATCGGGTATCAATGTTGGCGACAAAAGAACGGCGGTAATCTCGAAACCAGGCTTGAGCGGACATCAACTCAGACGATATAAGCGATCAATAGTGGTACAGTGCACTGGGGGTATAATGGATCTAGTGGGCTTGTGCTCTATCGCCTGTCAGTAACCATATACAACAATGAAGTTATGCGACTTGGTCTCGGGGGCCAGCGACCGGTGAGGGGGTTTCACCGCACGGTGATGGAACACTGAAACCGCAAGATCGAGAGCGAAGTAGTGAGGCATTGAGAACATATACTTACTAAAAATGAATGAATATCAAACAATTGACGCTCAAAAACAACAATATGCAATCAATGGCACTCCAATCAGGGAGACCGCGACCAGGGAGAGGTGGGGGGGGAAGACAGGAAGTTGAAGTAGGGATAGACAGAAGCAAAGACGGAGAGCTTCCCGGATGGAGACCAAACGAACTTCCCGATGCGGCAATCGATAAACATTGATCCGAATGCCTGTCCAACGCGCATTGCTGACATCAGCAGGTACAGCAACCGCACGTTATGCACGGCTATGCGCCCCACGAGTCCCGCTGCCGGTTGATGCCTGACAATCCAGTCAGGAGTAGTGAATCATCTTCGGCCAACTTCCAGCCCATGTGAAGAGCTATTTTAAGACCTTTCGTTTATGTCATATGGATTCAAATCGCTCATAATACATCTCTAGGACCTTTTCTCCTCATTCTTTCCTAAAATCTCTCTTCTCCCTCCCCTCCACCCACCATGTCTCTCACCCTCAAACTCTCCTCCCTTGTTATCCGCACCTTGTCAAAGCCGATCGCCGTACGCTTATTCCACCCTTGCAGTGATGTGCTGCTGACAGGAACTGACTGACACTCCAAAGAACCAAATTAAGGCCCAGGCTCGCGAACATGAACGCTTCCGGCGCATCTGCGTCTCTATGGCGCAAGGTCTCCACCGTATCGACATGCGTCTCCGGCTAGGCAACATTCGCGACAACGCCGCATCGCAAAAACGAGCAGCTGCTGAAAGAGAGCTCCGAAAGCACAAGCCCACGTCCCCGACGGTAAAGACGGAAGTAGAGGCGAAAGCAGAAGAGGAAGCCATTGCGAAAGCCAAAGCGGCGGCGGAGGAGGCAGCGAAGCCGGCACCGAAACCTCACATTCGACCATTGTCCGAGTCCAAGGCCATCGAGTCCGGGGCCACATTTATCAGCGAAACATTTCTGTTTATTGTTGCAGGAGGGCTGATTGTCTTTGAATCGTGGAGGTCTCGGAGAAAGGAAACAACCCGCAGGGAGGACGTTGAGACTCGATTGGCCGAGCTGGAGCAGTCTGAGAAGGCCGCCCGGCTAGCACTGTTGGCCTTGGAAAAGGAGCTGCTCCAGCAGAAGGCCAAGCACGGAGAACTCTCAAAGTCCTCCTCGAGGATCCTACCACGCGAGGTGTGGGACGTGAACCAAGAGGATGAAGTAAAGCCAGCCGAGGAGCCGGGCTTGCTGTCGTGGATTACATCGTATTTGCCTTGGGGAGAGAGTCCGGAACAACGGGCAGAGTCTGTGATCAAGGAGAGCAAGAGTGCAGCGAAGCTACCAGTTGATGCACCAACATCACCGGCATCGAAACCAGCCGAATCGGAATCGAAAGCGCCAGAGCCGAAAAAGGCTTGAGCGATGCCAGTATTAGACTTATGCACCTGTATATAATGTTATAGATCAGTTGGGGCACTATGTGGTGGACTATTTTTGTTAATGATGTTGCGATACCCTTATACATGACGGAAGGCAAACATGCGGAGGTTGATCTCGGAGCGACAAGCGGAGGCTTATAAATATAATTCACTCCTCTCTTCATTGAGCGTATCTTCCACATCCACATAGCTTCGAACATATACTACACAGGATGGAGCCCGACAAGTTTGTTTCTCTCCGCGGCACCTACTGCTGTTCACTACGAGAGCAATCAATATGGAGAATGCTTGAGCCAATCTTGAGAATGTCTCCGGGCCTAAAAGGTTGGTAGACTTCGATTGATGATGGAACTTTTCCCCTCTGATACCGATGCAGTGGGTGAGGTGAAAGAGGGGAGTGACTTCAACTTTCGCCTGGGCAATGATACAGCGACACTGAGTATCCTCCTGTTGGCACCCTCGTCCATTGAACCGTCTGTTGCAGAAGAGACTACATCCAGGCTACGCCAATTCTCTTCCCTCCCAAGTCGCATCGACAAGAAAGCTGTGGTCTATCTGCTGTCTGAGACAGCATTCCATAGTGCAAGTGGGAGGTACCATCTTGATGGATTGGTCGCATTGCAAGCACTGTGCGAGTATTCTCTACATTCATCCTCTATTTGGGAAGAAGTAATTGTGACTGATATTGGGGAGCTGTACAGGATGATTGAATCCCTCCCAAGCATGCTGCCTATCATTCCTATTGCGGACGCGGATTGCTTCCTATCCTCTATGCAAGAATATATCACCAACCTTGAGGGTATCGATATTCCACGACAACAATGCTCTACGAATACATTGGGTTTTGCAAGATCCAGGTTCTTCCCTGCTACACCATGTGATGAAAAGGGGAGTCAAAGATTCAGCAGTTTCGCTGGTTAGTTGTAGGACTCATGGGGCTACTGTATAAGTGGGATCAGCAACTGCGGGAGTATTATCGCGTATAATTACACTCCTTTATTCTATTGTAAGGGGTCTGGATGTCAACCCAATGCTGATTTCCTCTCAAATAGTGCATTCGATGATGTCACGTGTGTTTAATTACCCAATTATGTAGTTCCAAGTCAGGATACTACTAGTAGTTCATTGTTCATGTACTAGGATGGCATATCAGGCTGGAAGGTGAAGTTAGGTACACACGACCCAAAATATATTTCGGGAGTGGATCGTATTCGTTTATCAGGACTATCCCCCTATCCAGGGGTTCTACATTAAAAGAAAACCAACTTCCGCCAGCACTAGCCCCTATTTCATGCAATTGATGAAATGTGGCAGATGTTATGGTAGAAAATCCGGGATCAGCTTGGTGGTGAAGGAGGGAACTAGTTCCTAGTTTCTAGTAGTAAAAGCCGGACAAGCATTGGGCTGCAGGGGAGGGGGGGGTGACGTAGTGAGAGAGGGAGAGGAAGAGTCGAGGAAGAGTCGAGGAAGAAGTAAAAGTAACCGTTGGCAAACAATGGCAGCCTCAGGCATTAACACCCATCAGTCCCTTGGATCGTCGGTGCCTCGGACGGGCGTGTGCGGCCAGCCCTTCTTTTCTTTCTTCCCTTAACAACTAACGAACTGGAACCTTTTAGCGCCAGGGACCCGGGACTTCCAGGGGGCGACTGGCGCTCGGGGAATTTTTACTTTTGCCCCGGAGGCAACAATATACGGAGTATACCAGTGAAGTAGTAGTTAGTAGATTCCCTACCGATAAGTACTTACTAACTAACTAGTAGTAATACTATAACTCTGGTACTACCAATCCTAGTTGATTAGAGGGTATGGTCGGGTACTAACAGTAATAGTGATTGCGCGTATTCGAGGCAGCGCAACCCAAGTGTGGCGCAGGCTCCATCGGCCGGCCCGCCGAATCACCGGCTCTCTCTTCTTCCAGTCTGTGTCTGTCGTTACTTAGAATAGCGAAAGAGGGACCCCGGCCATTCTCTCCTCCTCCTCCACAAGGCACCCTTCCGTCATTCTTCCTCCTCTCCCTCCCTCTCTCTCTCTCTCTCCCCTCGTCCTCTTCGCATTCCTATACCCCTCTTCTATTACCTTACACACCCTATTCTTTCCTGCGGGCTCCTCCTCACACCATCCACTAGCTTCTTGGAATGAACCATACGCCCGCTGCGTTCATTTCCTATCCGCTGTGAATTTATCCGCTCCGTTCCTGTCCAGATTGATAGGCCAGATATCGTGACGCTTGGGCGCAACTTCCGGGGAGGTCGGTAGCCACAATCATGGTGAGTCGCAGCCCATTTCACTGCCAGTTCGATGCCAGAGGTTTATCCTTTTGGATTAATTTGTCTTTTTGCTAACCCCATGTCTCATTGTTAGGGTCATTCACGACGTCCGGCTGGCGGGGAGAAGAAGAGTCGCGGCTTCGGTCGCTCCAAGGCCGCCGCCGATGTGGGCGACGGGCGACAGGCGGGCAAGCCTCAGGTCAAGAAGGCTGTCTTCGAAAGCACAAAGAAGAAGGAGATTGGTGTCTCAGATCTTACCCTCCTCAGCAAAATCTCCAATGAGGCCATCAATGAGAATCTCAAACTCCGCTTCGAACATGACGAGATCTACGTAAGCTGCCGCTGCCACCACTACCACCACCACTACTACCACACACCCCCGGCGAGGCTTTTTAGGCGAGGACAATCACTAACGGACGACTTCCTATAGACATACATTGGACATGTGTTGGTGTCTGTTAACCCGTTCCGCGACTGTAAGTGGCTTCCCCTGAGCGCCATCGGTGCCCATGGTCGGATGGCTGACCACGCCCCCTATTCTAGTGGGCATCTATACCGATCGTGTCCTCGAGTCCTACCGGGGGAAGAACCGACTCGAAGTCCCGCCCCACGTTTTCGCGGTCGCAGAGTCCGCCTACTACAACATGAAGTCATACAAGGATAATCAGTGCGTGATCATTTCAGGAGAGTCGGGTGCGGGTAAGACGGAGGCGGCCAAGCGGATCATGCAGTACATCGCCAGTGTATCCGGGGGAAGCGACTCGTCCATCCAACAGACCAAGGACATGGTTTTGGCCACCAACCCGTTGCTGGAATCGTTTGGTAACGCAAAGACCCTGCGCAACAACAACTCCTCCCGTTTCGGAAAATACCTGGAACTGGAGTTCAACACCAATGGCGAGCCGGTAGGTGCCAACATCACAAACTACCTGCTGGAGAAGTCAAGAGTGGTGGGGCAGATCACGAACGAGCGAAACTTCCACATTTTCTACCAATTCACCAAAGCTGCACCGCAGAAGTACAGAGGTAGGCGCATTAATTTTGGTTTCCGTGACCGAGCTAACAGCTCGTGTAGATATGTTCGGCATACAGCAGCCTCAATCCTACCTCTACACCAGCCGATCGAAGTGCTACGATGTCCCCGGAGTCGATGATGCCGCCGAATTTAGAGACACCATCAATGCCATGGGTGTCATTGGAATGACTGAAGCTGAACAGGACGAGGTGTTCCGCATGCTGGCCGCCATTCTGTGGATCGGAAATATCCAGTTTGCCGAAGACGACTCCGGGAACGCTGCCATCACTGACCAGTCAGTGGTCGACTTTGTCGCATACTTGCTGGAGGTCGATGCCGCGCAGGTGAATAAGGCGCTGACCATCCGGTTGATGGAGACGGCCCGCGGAGGCCGCAGGGGATCGGTCTATGAGGTTCCGTTGAACACGGTGCAGGCGCTGGCTGTTCGTGATGCGTTGTCCAAGGCGATCTACTTCAATCTCTTTGACTGGATTGTTGGGCGGGTCAACTCCTCGTTGACCGCCAGAGGGTCGGTGGCGAACTCCATCGGTATCTTGGATATCTACGGGTTTGAGATTTTTGAGAAGAACTCGTTTGAGCAACTGTGTATTAACTACGTCAATGAGAAGCTGCAGCAGATCTTCATCCAGTTGACCTTGAAGGCGGAGCAGGATGAGTATGCGCGGGAACAGATCCAGTGGACCCCGATCAAATACTTTGATAACAAGGTGGTCTGCTCGTTGATTGAGGACAAGCGTCCACCGGGTGTCTTCGCAGCGCTGAACGATGCCTGCGCGACAGCGCATGCCGATTCCGGCGCGGCGGACAACACATTTGTCGGCCGTCTGAACTTCCTGGGCCAGAACCCCAACTTTGAGAGCCGCCAGGGCCAGTTTATCGTCAAACATTACGCCGGTGACGTCAGCTATGCAGTCGAGGGCATGACCGACAAGAACAAGGACCAGCTGCTGAAGGATCTGTTGAACCTCGCTGGTTCCAGCAGCAACCAATTCGTCCACACCCTCTTCCCCAACCAGGTGAACCAGGATGATAAGAGACGTCCGCCCACCGCCAGCGACAAGATCAAGGCGTCTGCCAACGACCTTGTAGCGACGTTGATGAAGGCACAGCCGTCTTACATTCGAACCATCAAGCCCAACGATAACAAAGCGCCCCGGGAGTATAACCAAGGCAACGTGCTGCACCAGATCAAGTACCTGGGTCTGCAGGAGAACGTACGTATTCGTCGCGCTGGTTTCGCCTACCGTCAAACGTTTGATAAGTTTGTGGAACGCTTCTACCTGCTGTCGCCCAAGACATCCTACGCCGGTGACTACACGTGGACGGGTGATGAGGAGTCTGGTGCCCGCCAAATCCTCAAAGACACCAGTATCCCCGCAGAAGAGTACCAGATGGGTATCACCAAGGTCTTTGTCAAGACCCCGGAGACGCTATTCGCCTTGGAGACGATGCGCGACCGGTACTGGCATAACATGGCCATTCGCATTCAGCGTGCTTGGCGCAACTACCTGCGCTACCGCATTGAATGCGCCATCCGCATCCAGCGGTTCTGGCGTCGCATGACAGGCGGTCTGGAGTTCATCAAACTGCGTGACCAAGGACACCAGGTCCTCCAGGGCAAGAAGGAGCGGCGCAGGATGAGTTTGCTCGGGTCGCGGCGCTTCCTCGGAGATTATGTGGGCGTTGGCAATAAGGGTGGACCGGGCGAGATGATCCGGAACGGTGCAGGTATTAACGGTGAGTAGCATGGTTTGTGTGTTTGTGTGTGTGTAGGATCTGGCTGACAAGTGCTAGGATCGGAAAATATTCTCTTTTCTTGCCGTGGCGAAGTATTGATTTCTAAGTTTGGCCGGTCCAGCAAGCCGGCGCCGCGCATCTTTGTTTTGGTAAGTCGACGCTCCTTGCTGCAACTGGACGCAGCTGACAACGCAGACCAACCGACACGTCTACATCGTGGCACAAACGCTGGTCAACAACCAGCTTCAGATTGCGTCAGAGAGGACGATACCTATCGGAGCGATCAAGTCCGTTAGCACATCGAACCTGAAGGATGACTGGTTCTCGCTCGTGGTGGGCGGACAGGAGCCGGACCCGCTGATGAACTGTGTCTTCAAGACGGAGTTCTTCACACACCTCACCAACGCACTTCGGGGACAGCTGAACCTAAAGATTGCCGACCAGTAAGTTTGTTTCTTTCTCATAGAGGGCGCCACTAATCATTCCTAGCATCGAGTACAACAAGAAGCCGGGCAAGCTGGCCACCGTCAAGGTGGTCAAGGACCCGCGGCCTCGAACGTCGACAGCTACAAGAGCAGCACCATCCATACGAGTGCCGGTGAACCCCCTAGCTCTGTCTCCAAACCCACGCCACGCCCGAAGCAGGTTGCTGCGCGACCCGTGACGAAGGGCAAGTTGCTCCGGCCTGGTGGTCCTGGCGGCGGGCCCTCGAAGTTGGCATCCAGACCTGTACCGGCGCGCCAGCCTTTGCCTCAGTCCACGCCGCAGCCGGCTGCCGTGCAACCACCCCCCGCCCCCAGGCCAGGTGTGTCGCCCGCAGCGCAGCCCAGACCGGTCCCTCAACCTGTTGCCGCGGTTGCCGCAGCGCAGCACACACGAAATGCATCCACCAGCTCCGCAAGGGCGCCACCCCCACCTCCCCCATTGACGCCGCCAGCCCAGAAGAAGCCAATGGCGAAGGTGTTGTACGACTTTAACAGTGACCAGACCAACGAACTGTCGATCCGAGCGGGCGAACTTGTGCAGATTGTGTCCAAGGAAGGAAATGGTAAGTCACACAGCCCATTGTTTACGACGAATGTCAGCTAATGTCAGCAGGATGGTGGTTGTGTATGAACACAGCGACATCGGTTCAGGGCTGGACGCCCGAGGCCTACCTTGAGGAGCAAGTAGCAGCGTCACCTAAGCCTGCACCGCCCCCGCCGCCACCGGTTGCACCCCGCGCCAGCCCCGTGCCGGCGACTAATGGTGCCGCCGCCGCTGTGGCCGCCAAAGCTAAGGCCAAGCCGGCACCGCCGGCCCCGCCAGTGAAGCGGCCCAACATGGCTGGGCGGAAGGTGGCGCCCGCACCCCCAGCAGCACCGCGCGATAGTGCCGTGAGCATGAACTCGCACGACTCGTCTGGCGGCAGCGGACGGGGGACGCCCAACAGCGCGTCGAACGCGAGTCTGGCGGGAGGATTGGCGGAGGCACTTAAGGCGCGACAGCACGCGATGCAGGGACATCATGATGAAGACGATGAGTGGTAGACTACATACTACACTGTCGAGAATGAGCTAGAAGCATACCCGGTAGATAAAATAGACATGTATAGCACTGCTGCAGCTGAACCAGTAGATATATATCTTCTTCATCAAATGCAACAAACGGCCTCACGAATCACCAAACCCGTCCTCATAAACCCAACAACCTAAAAATATATTTACTTACAAGAACTTGCTCGCCAAACTCATCAACGCCCCCGGACCACCCGTACCACTCGACCCACTGCCCTGACTCTTCATATACATCTTAAACGCCATCTCCGCAGCCGAGTTAACAGCCGACTGCTTATCACCAGACTGCCCAAAACACACACACCAGTTAGCCTATACCCTATACACCCTTCCCCCCCCAACCAACATCAAACCATAACAAAGGGGATAAAATAAACTTACAACACTGCCAGATCCAGCCTTCTCCTCCCAAAGCTTACTCGCCTGCGCCATCGCCATGCCAATAAACTCATTCTTATCCCCACCGCTGCTACCACCACCACCAGAGGTAAACATCTTCAGCGCCTGCATCGCAGCGCCGGCACCCAAGCTGCTGCTATCATGTTGCTGCTGCTGCTCACCACCGCCGTTGTTGTAAAGCCGCTGGTGCGACTGCACGAGATGCTCCTCGTCGATGTCCGGTTGCTCGGCGTACTGGCTCTTGCGGTCGGAGAGGAAGCCGAGGGCGGAGGAGAAGAGAGAACTGTCGGAGGAGGATTCGTGAGATTGTGCGTGGTGTTGGGCGGAGGAGAATTCGGGGTCGTAGCTGCTGCCTCCGCCGTAGCCTCCTCCGGAGGAGGAGTGGGAGCCGGAGGTGGCTTGTTCGAGGGCGGAGGAGATGAGGTTGGAGAAGGACATATTTCTTTGATTTGATTACTTTGTTTTTCTTTGTTTGAGGGGATGGAAGTATGTGTTGGGGAGATAAAATGATAAGGTGATGATGATGATGGTAGGAGAGGGGATGATGGAGGGGTTAAGGGGATAAGGAGTATTTATGAGGGGCTGTGGCGGTGTAGACGAGATGTAGAAGGGGTGGAAATGGGGAATGATCGGCAGTGGGGCAGGGCGCTCAGCCACGATCGGGCGATTTAGTTTTACTTCGTACGGAGTTACTTGTATTATTGTAGTAGTTAAGTGATGGTGGTGGATAATGGTGAGAGAAATGCTTCTGAATCATGGCTAAAACTGCAATAACGTGGTATCTCTAAATCACGGCTCCGCCCAATTATGCAATATAATGCACTACTCATACACCCATCGCTACAATAGCATCGCTTCATGCTCCTCGTCCTCCAAAGTCCACATCCATCGCTGCTGTCGCTCGCGCTCAGTCAACATGCATCGCTCGTCGTCGTCCAGCTCCGTCTCGCGCAGCCACTCGTTCGGCCGATCCCGCAGCCCATATCGTTGTCCCCACTGCCGTCGCTCATATTCCAGGAACCCGCCAAAGTGCTCGTCCGTGTTGGCCACCCAGATTGTGCTGCCATCCGGCGCGTAGTCGGCACCGCCGATCTCCCCAAAGAAGTCGTGCACTTGGCGACGTTGGTATGTCTGCGCGTTGACCACGGCGATGCGGTCCGCCGGCTCACACAGGAGCAGGGTGCGCGGCCCGCCGCCCACGGGCGACCAGCGCAGTGACCGGTATCCGGCCACATCGGACTCGATCTTCTGCAGCATCCGCCACATGCGCACATCCCAGATGATCGCTGTCATATCTTGATTGCTCGTGGCGATGTGGTGCATGTCCGGCGCCCAGGCGCACGCAAACCCGAAATCGCGGTGTCCGCGCAAGGGGTGCACCGGGCGCCCGGTATCCGCTTCGACGACCCACGCGTCCGCCGAGTCGCCAATCAGCACGCGCAGGCGCCCGTCTGGCGAGGTCGTCGTGCAGTTGATGGCCCGCGAGAGCTCGTGGTCCGCCACAAACGTGTTGGTCTCGCAATCCAGCACCCGCAAGTGACGGTCATTCGACGCGAAGATCCCCTGTGGAGACCGATTCGTCCGGCTCGGAATGATGTCGACATGGTTGGTGATGCCATTCGCGTCCTTGGTCACATAGCCTTGTACGCCCGGGCCTGTCGTGCCCGCCGCTCGCACGGCATATTCGCCCGAAAACCCGCCCGCGATGGTCGTGTCGTGCGCCGACTTCATCGTCGAGATCTTGACGGGGCCCTGCAGCCCCGACTCGACCGTCGGCCGTGACAGGTCGAGCAGGCAGACGAGATCGTCGTATGCGGGCACCCACGAGTAGACCTTGGACTCGTGTGCAAAGTGGACGGTATTGTATGCCGCCACCGACATCAGGTTCCGGAGCTGAAAGTGCTCGATGGTGGCTTTGTGTTCCGTGTACATGGCCTTGCCGCGAAAGTACGACTCTTCCTGCGGCAACCTCGCGCCAGGCCGTTGCCGGGAATCTGCCAGGTTGTGGTACGGTGTATACGACTCGTCCCGCAGCTTGCGCACATAAGCCCGTTTGATCCGCAAGGCATCCCACCAGGGGATCTGTTGCAGATCGTAGAAATCTCGCGCATACCCCGGCGGTCGATAGATTTTCGGTGGGGGAATCCACCCGATCAGATGCGCAATGGCGCTGCGGGGGAGGTGTGCCGACGACATCGACAGACTGGGAATCGCGGACGCGGCGGACGACTGGTACAGCCACTGGGCAATAAACTGGTCCACGTTCAGATTCCTTTCGCGGGCTAGTACTAGGTTAGCATGCCGCAAGAACCGTAGAAACCGATGGAGACTCACTAGTTCCAACCACTGAAGCAGCAAAATGCGTCTCGCCCGTCGGGTCGGCATTGCTTGAATCGTCCCCCTCGGAAAAAACATTGCTGTAGTCGTCGCGCATGGAACCGGGCCCCAGATCAGATAATCCAGGAGCAGAGGGTGAAGGTGGGTCGTGATAGAAGTCTTCCAGCTCCTCCTCCGACAAATACGCCGTGCCATGGCGGGTCCCCATGTCACTGGCGACATCGTCGTCGTATTCATCGCCATCATCCGAGTAGAACTTTTGCGTGTCATCCGGGTCGTCCTCTGCGATGGACTGCGACGTGGACCGGTTCTCCATCACCGACGGCTCATAGTCCATGATCAGATCGGTCACCTCCCCATCTTCGGTGTCGCTGGAGATGGTGGACGCGACGTGGTGTGCGGACACCGGGGTATCCAGCGACTGGTTGAGGAGGGCTGCCATACCGACGTGTCCACCGATGTAGGGCTCCAGCGGGACGCCACCCATCTCCGACAGCGCGTCCGTCATTTCCGAGTCCGAGACGTACCATTCCACCGGGGGCGACGACGGGTTGGGCGCATGGTCGGGCACAGTCTGATGCACCAGTAAATCGTCGCGCGCCCTCACCGCATTCACCACCTCGGAGGAAATAGTGTAGGGCCGATCGGCAGACTCGAAGACGTGCGCATACTGGGGGACAGCCAGGAAGGCGGAGGCGGCCAATTCGCTCGTGTTCCGATCGTCTGTATCACCGTGGATGCCCGCCGCGGAAGCGTCCGAGCTGACGGCGGGCACGGGGTCTTCGACGGACGGCATCTGCAACCGGGTCGACGAGGAGGCGTTAGGCGAGGGCAGACTGTCTGGGGTCCAGGGATGTGAGGATCTGGGGACGGTACATGCTGACGGGCTGCGAGCGCGGGTACTCGGGGGTCCCGGCAGGACCGAGGTGCTGGAGGAGGACTCGGAGGCAGAGGAGGACGAAGACGAAGGAAAATCCGAGGCAGTCGGGCCAGGCATTCCGGTCAGGGCGCAGAATTGGCAACGGGGCTGGCCACCGATCGATTGGGGGGCGAGCGGTGGGGAGAAATAAGCAGGGAGTGGAATTTAAGTAGTAAGGAATTCAGACGAAGGAGGGATCAACTGGTGATTGGCACTGGGGTGGGTTGTACAGGGATGAGGGCCGGTCGGGACCACGTTGTTGGCCCTCCGATCGCAATCAATCAATCAATCAATCGATCCCCGTCGGATCTGGACTTCTGCAGCCGATAAGTCAAGTTCACCCCGCAGGGCGTCTTGCCCACCTCCCCCACACCGATAGGGATAAGCGTAGGGTTTGACTCCCAGAGTGGGACAGCCACTGCGCTAACTGAGGAGAAAATGGCAGAGAGTCAGTGTGTGTTGTGCGTTGTGTGACCAACCCACCATGAAAAGGTCAGTGGTGGTGGTGGTGGCTTAGCAGTGTGGGAGGAGAAGGAAGGTAGGAAAGTAAGGAAGCCAGTGGGAGGCGGACAGAAGGAATGGAAGAATCCCGAGGTGGAGGGGCGGTGTCGCACCAAAGTAACACCACCAATAAACACACCACCACTAGATACTGGCCGGTGAACAGGTTATACGATGGAGGTGAAGGCCGAAAGGTAGTAAGTAGGTAGAAGGGAAAAAGCAAAATACCCGACAGGACTGAAGATGGGAGTGGGAAGCCAAGAGGCCGTCAATCATACCCCAGTTAGGTAGACTGCAGGAAAGAGGCAGCAGATGCCGCAGAAGAGGCGGGGAAAGAGGCAAAAAGTAAGAGAGAGGAATGGGAATGAAAAGAAGGAGACGGTCGAAGAAGAAGTAGAAGCGAGACAGAGAGGGAGGAGGAAAAAGCAACTTGGGAACTGTAAGAGATGGAAGAGAGAGAGAGAGAGAGAGAGAGAGAGAGAGAACGTGGGATCCCGATCGGGGCTGTCACATGGAGGGGGAGTTGCCGATCACGAGGCAGACCAAGAAAGAGATGATTGTAAAACTAGTAGAACTTTATGTATGGGGGTTGCTGCAGTTTGTGAGTTGGGAAGTTAATGCTGCTTCTATTCTAACCTTGTTTTGAGTTTAAAGACTAAGTATGAGTAGTAGTAGTAGTAGTAGTAGTAGTAGTAGTAGTAGTAGTAGTAGTAGTAGTAGTAGTAGTAGTAGTAGTACTACTACTAGTTAGATAGTAGTAGATAGTACTTGGTACAAGTGACATGGTCTGATTCTAACGGGATGTATATGTCCGCAGTCAGGGCATGCTACCCAGTAGGTACTAAGGTACTAAGTACCAAGTAGTTCAAATCCCGATTGGATTGGTTTCTTTTTCTCTGGTGTCTGATCTATTGTATTAAGGCTTGGTAGTGCTACTCCACGTTCACGCAGCTTGATTTTATCTGTCAGATTCCCCATTTTGGGGCTCCCACACCAGCAGTAGAGATTGAACATCTTATTACACTATTGCTGTATGGGTACATTTCACTTCTTTCTGATCAAGAAGATCCCCCATAAAATAATACGAAGAAAAGAGCACTGAAACAATACAATCTACTGCGGTAAAGTATAATAGGACCAACGGCCTGAGGCCTCCTAAGAATAGAAGCATACTGTCGGTCTGACTATTATTCCGACTCCGCTGGCTGGTCACAACAACATGGAATTTAGTTAGATTCATTGACACCACTCTGTAACTGCCCAGTCGCTGGTGAAACCAACCCTGACTATCATCATTTTCAGTCAGGCATACTACTTGGTTCAGACGAATCCCTATTCAAAGAGTTAGTCCCATCCCGAAGCTTAGAGGACACAGCTCCATTTCTGGAAGCGGAAGACCAAGGAACGTTTCTATCCTTTGCTCGAGAGATGCTCGGCTGGCTGCTGGAGGGGAGAAAGACAGCTCCCGAGTTGATAGATCTTCCATTACTCAGGCTTGGTAATTGATCTACCGCCCCGTTATATTTGGGCATAGATGATGTATTAAGGGGTCTTCGTTGTCGAACAAAATTAGCTGGCCAGCTTTGTACACGACGAGTGCTTCTCATTAGAGTGTCCACTGCATTTCCACATACAATAGCGTCACTTTAGTACTACTTACCTGAATACGATAGTTAGTACTTAGTACTGTCAAAGTGTAACTAACAACCAATGCCGCTTTATAATTGGCCC